CTAAAAGTCTATCGGCTCGATTTGGAAAAAAAAAAAAACGGCCGAGCCGAGCCGCGACTTATGAACAGTGCTTATGAATAGTAAAAACTCCTTCGCTCTTTTATTTAAGTAGGAAATAAATTTTTGCAATGCCAAATCAACAGAAAAGTAACACATGGTGTTATGTTACCGAGTTGTCACGCTCATGAGTTAGAGAACTTAGAGTGTCACTAAAAACTTCTATTGTCAAGATTAATAGTGCCGAAACAAACGTTAAATTTCGGTTACTGCCACTTAAAAGCAAGGAGAAGCATCTAAGAACAAATCCTAACTATTCCAAGAATAAAAAAAGATAAAAACTTAGCCAGAATATATTAAGCTAAACATTCGACTCTTGACAGAAATTTAAATTCGACATAGAGCCAAACAATTAGGCACCAAAAACCCTATTTTCTAATTCTACACATCAAATTCATGATTAACCTTTAAGAAATTTTCATCATTCATTCAAACACTTAAAAATATTAACTACTGATACTACAAAAAATCGCACTTGGTGAATTTCGAGCTTGACGACTGAGAATGAGCGCGAACGTGATCTTTCGGTACCTAATACAAAGGCGTCAAGGTGTGTCCTCGGCGCCCCTCCGATGCTTAAATTAAAGAGAGAAATTATGCGAAAAGCTTGAGTGCTGAAAATATATTAAAAAACGTACTTGAATAATGAATTGAGGCCGTGTATTTATAGAGGTGGGTAACCCTTTCCTAGTTGGACTTCGAGTCCTACTTGAGATGTGTATTGTTCTGTAGCAGTGGATCCAATCACAGTTTTATTGCAACACACGTTAATGTAGACTCCTTCTTTGCCTAGGAATCCTAATTCGAGATATTCGGATAGACCTAGAATTCCTAGAGAGTAAAATCAGTTTTATGTCTAAGGGAACCTTCAAGGAAAAATGGCGTATATGCTCGAGGATAGTCGTGGATCCCGAGGACTGTTGCCATCAAAACCATCAAAATTAATATCGTATATGCTCGAGCATCGTTGGGGAATGCTCGAGCACTATGTGCTAACCCGAGGAGCAAAAGGGATGTTCTGAAAAATGGATGAAGCTCGGGTTCATTATGCTCGAGCATAATGATAGCCATATCAACTACCTACCCATTGAACACTAACTTAAAAAAATTTAATGAAGAGAGTTGGTGTTTAATCTGAAAGATCGTAAAATACCTTTGAAAAAAAATGGTTTCGTGATTGCTTTGATTATTTTATCTTCGAACCATTTAACCTCTTGTTCGTTTCCTTTTTGCAATGACATTATTTATTTTGCTTCTTTTTATATGTGAATCA